AGAGCGTCTGAGGCTGCGTGCCCGCTACAACGGGGTGGAAGGACGATAAGTTGCGCACCGCTATAGGCCGTCCGCGCTGCGCGCGGAGAGCAACGCTGTTGCGTCCAGTGAAGATAGTTGAGCGCAGAGAAACACAGGCGGCGAGAGTGCACGGGGAAAGAGGAGTGACGCGCAATACACACCTTGCGCACTCTCCGCGCCCTGCGCGGACGGCCTATAGCATTTTCAACTAGGGCGCGCCGCCGCACTGCAATTATGACCAGCAAGATAATTGGTCACGGGCGTAGTGTCGCGCGTGTACCATTTACCACTGGCTCCCAATGGTCAACCGATAATCAATTTATCGGTTATGTTTCAATACAGGGCAACCGCATCGCTGATACGCTCGCCCGAGTCCGCCCTCTCGGCAATCGGGGAGCCGATGTACTCGCGGCGGGCACTATGTGACGGCCGGTGGTGGGGGATATGAGCGCCCGCGCGCATACGGCGCGCGTGCCGCCGGAGTGAGTGTCTGAGTGGTAGAGGGTCAAAACAACAACGTACTTCGCTAAAACTTGGCTCAAAAAAGGCTTCATCCAACGCTGATCACGAGTACCATACTTCTTCTGCATTGTAGGGCCCTTTCACAAAGTTAGGGCATAGGTGTAGGCCGCTGCATGACGAAGGCGCAATATCTTTGGGCGTAAACGCGCTTTATTAGCCGCAAAGCGCATGAAACGCAGGATTGACAATAGCGAAAATATGCGCGCGTAGCGTTCGCGCTCGCTCAGCTAATACTGTTTTTGCGCTTTCTTCCTGTAGTAGCTTTCCATGGTAAAGGGTCAAAATAAACGTAATTCTGTATTTTACGGTAGTGGGGACAAAATCTCAAAGGCAGCTTCCAGGCAAATCTGGCCATATATGGGGACTTCATGTGGAGAGTAATTTTGGGGCCGTGACCTGCCTAAGCGGCAGCTCAGATGGTGTACCAACGGCGGGACATCAAACTGGACCCCAAGGTGTATAAACAGACGACTTACCTAGTGTTTGCATGGTTTCATACCTACTACGACCCGCTAGCGCTATTCATTCGCGCTAGCGCTTAGCCAATGTTTTACTTAGGGTCCCAAAATTACATTCCAAGTGATGTCCTCTTGCAAGGTAATTTAACACTTCGATCGTTCCCCTTTTCATTAATCATTTTTCATATAATACTTCCTACGTACTTTTTTTGTATATCATCTACGCTGCTTGATAGATGCAATTTTGATGGCGCAGTTTATGTCTGTCGTGGAGCCCGCTACACCTGCGGCGCATTTAGCCTGACGAGGGAAGGATACTTGGTGACCTGTGGCCTTTTGCAATGAGATGTACACCAGTAGGTGCGTCTTGAAACGCTGATTCTAAATCTATGTGTATTATCTGCTGTGTGACCCTCTGAACGAAGTTATGGACTTCTTTCCATATTGATTTTGCGAGATTTATGCAATCAAAATCGTAACTATCCAGGCTTTTTAGGCTCTGATGTATCGGTGACAGTTTTCCTTAGCTTACCGTGAAGCTTTGCTTTATCTGTACGCTCTTTTGTAGCGTAAGCGAACATTCTAGCGATATTGGTGAATCCTGCATCAGAAACAGTGCAAATTTTGGTGATAAGAAATGTCCATAACTTCTTTCGGAAGAGCGCACAGCGGATAATAAAAACAGATTTCGAATCGGCGCTTTAAGATGCAACTAATGGTTTACGTTTCATTTCAAAAGGCCACGGTCACCAAGTATCCTTTCCTTGTAAGCAAAAGAAGGGAACGAAACCTTGCGTGTGCTGTTACAGTAATGCACATCCACCGCAATACGTACTCCTGGCATTTCATCCATAATACTTGTCCCTCAAATAGTCGCCCCACAGCAACACTTTGTGAAAATTCTAGACTGCTTTGATTACTTTCACAAAGCTGAATCCTTATAACATCAAATGATCTGCAAGCATTCATATATGCGTTTACCGTTTTGTAGGTACTCAAAGCTGCACAAAACTATATATGTGTGCCGTAAGAACCAAGAAAAACTCCATTCAAAAAGCAGCAGCGTTTTTAACTGTACACTAATTTTGAGCGCTCATAACTTACCAACCACTGAAGATGGAATTGAGGAGAGTAGTACCAGGGGTAAAAGGAGGATAAGCTCTTAAGCGAAGGTACTTTTAGAGTTTTGAATTTTTTCACTAAAGGGACACTATCTGGCCTTTAAATGGGACATATTTTGACACCAGTGGCGTACCCATGATTTCGAGCCGGAGGAGGGGGGCGGACAAAAATTTTTCTCTAATGAAGATGTGTGGCGTTAGCCACGCACTCCAAAAATTTTTTCGATATGCTTTCCAGAATTTTCGCGGGCTCATAACCCCGAAAATTTAAAAAAAAAGCGGGCGTAGCGTCAGCCACGCCCCAGAAAAGTTTTCTGATAAGGCTGAAATGATTTTCAAAAAATTTTAAAAAATATCGATTATTTACAAGTTTAAACAAGTCGTTTGCACAAATTTATAACAAAGGTACGGTATTCAGGCTCCGTAACGATTTTCCTCGAAAGTGAGGGGTTCTGGTTTCAATTTTTTTTATATTAGAGGATTTGGTTTTTACGCTTTCAGCCTCATTTCTTCCCACAACTCAGACTGCTTGTTCGTTCGTTCCTGATTACCGTCCGCTTTTGATGAATGAATTTCGATTTTGGAGAAATGTACACGAGTAGAAGCATATCAACTTGTAACGACTTTCAGCCTGGTGTACATAACGAAATAGCGCTCATTACTTCTCCTTCTCTAAGCTTTTTTCATCACGAGAGCAAGCGAGGTACAAGAATGAGACGAAAACGAGAAAAATACAGCTTGAAAACCGTCCAAAAAATCAGAAATTGTCATTTCGCGCCTCTCAAAACCTCATATGAGCGGCCGCAAGGGCATCCTGCAGTTCCAGCACAGTGCGAGAACAATGGTGGAACTGTTCCGGAACTTCCAGATCAGTATGCATCCAGCATCAGCATGATCGACTTCCAGTGCATTGAGGGCGGATTTTTTTGATGGCGTGTGAACTTGTTGAACCTCTACATTATATCTTTTCGTGCTCTCTCGTAACATCACGCTTTGAGCTGCTACGACTCCGCCTCTATATCTGAGAGCAGATAACAAATATTCGCAGGTGCCTTTACTGCGCTCGTGTGGAATCCAAAGCCAAATCAGCAAAGTTTTACTAAATAGTGAATACCCCAATCTAGCTTTGGCTCACATTACTTACCGCCATAGCCATAAAGTAGAACGGGTGCGTCACCACTTTGCGATGAATTCTTTGAAGAAACTATATACATGGGGACCTGAAAAAGCTGTAAAACTTTCTACATTTTTGAAAAGTTCATACGCACCTTTGTTCCGTCTTTGCTACTGAAGAACACTTGCTGTACTAGAAAATCTTCCTCATTTATACCTTCGACTACAGAACGCCGTAATTCCTCTAACTTGGGAGACGACGTGTTTGAAGAAAAATCCACACGATAAACAATGGAGGGGATTATCATAGTTTCGAGGACGAAAAATATCTCATCCTGGCTCTTTTTGCCAACAACATAGTCAATGCTGCTGAAATTTGAATCTAAATCAACTTACATGCAGCCTTTATTTGGTGTATGTTTCAACCCTTTTCCTACTTTGGATTACCACAAATTAAAAAAGACATTTGTGAGTACAGTGACAAATATTTATCGATAATCAGCATTTTCTTAGGCACGGATTTGGTTGTTATATATATCAAACCGTTACCGTTATCGTTGATAATGTGTACAACCAATAAAAAAGATTTCGTAAGCCAGAGATTGCCAGTTTTTGGGAATCTCTACTATGTGGAAAAAAATTTATAGTGATCGAGAAGCACACAATTTGCTCATTACGTACTGGCCAGCTAAGCGTTGAAGAGTTGCATATAACACAAATTGTTTGCCTAATGCACTGCAAAAATCTAAAGCGCACCCACTGAATTTGGTTTATCTGGAAATGCAAGCCATGCCTGTTTTGATTCTTGCCAATTATTTTGCTGATAATAATTGCAATCACTCTTTCTTTTTTCAAATCAATAAATGTCCCAAACCCAATTTTGCTAAACGAAAATCTTGAAGATGTAAAAATGCTCAAGTTTTGTTTTCTTGTTTCTGAAAGCACGGATTTGAAGAAGATAACTCCACAAAAGAATGCAGATACAAGAAAACTAAAACAAAAGGGTTATTGAAGAATAGTTTTCCATTTAAATCAAGGTCTCTGAAAAGGTATCAAAAATGTGGGAAGCTGTAAAACAGCCCGGTATACACGAGTGCGGTGAGCATTTTTATCATACTTTGTACACAGTTAGGGCAGAAAGCACTTATTTGGACTGTTTAAGAAATAGCAAAAATAAAAAATACTTGCTTAACTCTGATCAGAGTGATCTTTAGAATAGTATCTCAAAATCTAATGAATATAAATAATACCCTTCTATTAAATTCAACGAGTGCATATAAGCTCCATCCTGAAGATCGTGCACATGAAGAGTGTGCTGGAAAAAGTAAATTTTACTTACTTACTTACTTTTACTTACTTACTTAGAAATTTTAGACCTGCAAAAAAGGTAATCCTTACCTTAACGTCATCAAGATACAACAAGACAAGGCGATTGTGTGCGGCAACTTTAGCGCTATCCAGAATAAATTTTTGGTGTTCGGGTACAACATCCCAGACTGATCCATTTTTTAGTGACACACGGAGCAATTTGAATTTAGGTGCTTCATGATTTGTGAGTATCAACATAGAATCATCATCATGGTCGATATACTGAACAGATGACATCTTTAGTTGATTTTAGTGCAGGGACATATGTAAGCTCAACTAACATCATATTTTGCATCCAGTTTTTCAAAAAGTGGTTTAGGCGTTATCGCACCTCGGCTGCTATCGAAACCGGTCAGATTATAGTAGTACAGCATATTATTTTGAGTAAAGTTGGGATCGATGCGTATTATCATATACAATCCATCATCCGTGACAAATGCTTGACTGCAAACAAGCAATCCTGAGGTTTGGCTTTAATATTCTCGTAAATTTTGTGATGTCTGTTTGCAACTGAAGTCACTCAGAAGCGGAAACTTTTGTCTTTTCATTAAACAGTTCACAGGCATTTATGTGAATAAGCTAATCTGCCTCAATTCCCGAGAGCGTCAGTCAAAACTTAGCTAATGCGAAGCCTGGAAGTGACAACCTTCCGAGAAAAGTACATAAGAACAACGCAGTCAGGAAATCATCTTTGAAAGTTTTCAAAACTAGAAATTTTTAGAAATCCATCATGTACAGACTGCTGCGAAAAATTATGAAAAAAGAATACGCAATGAATGACTTCTAGCAACTTTTGTAAGCTTTTGTCTGATAGACTTTCTACAACGTACGCTTTGTCCAACGAAACAAGGAATCGTCCATAAAAGCTTATACGCACTGCGCTGGAGTAAGTTAGGATTGCTTCTACACCCGCACATGGTCAGAGGGAACAAACGACTTCGTCTTTGGATCACGGGAGCTTCGAATGTGGGCCTAATGTGACTCAAATTGTCATCTTACATTCACTTTGAAGCTACATCTGTGTTGTTTATTGAACGGTGTTGCCTTCGCTAATAAACAGAGCATCAATGGGGTATGATGCTTTGGTTAATTTCACCATCGCTTTCGAGCATAGGCTGTTCTAAATGTTCATTATGATGATACTGGTTCTTTTGTGGATTCACTACATGAATGATGTACTCGTGATTCGTGAATTAGCCAAAAAATGCCACATATGCGATAGTGCATTACCTAATTGAGTGCGAGTAAAGGACTGATCATACACTCAAAAGCGTGCAGAGCGTTGGCTGCAATCAATACAATTGCCGAGCAATGTGGAGAAAGGGTGGTTGGGGTAATGGAGTTTTGGAAACCTCTTGCAGAGTATCTATACTTGATATACCTTCTTGGAATTTACGCATGGGTTGTGGTGTTTTGATTATAACAAATATTTTTCTCAACATGACTTGAAAGCGAAATACCTAAGCGAGCTCTTTGTCAAATATCCGTTTGCTAAAGCAAGGCATTAGTAAGGGGAAGTACTCTTAATAACTTTTATCTCTCTGAGTGAAATATGTAAGGAGCGCACACCTTTTCCGGCCTTTCCTCGCTGACTAAGCGAGCAATTTGTTCCCTGACCAGATTTCCATCTTTGCTCTTCTCTAACAAACACCACCATGGCGATATTGCTGCTTATGGCTGGTCACTAAAATTGCAATAAACCACCTGGAAGAAGACCTCCTGAATATAATAGAGCTTGCACACTAGAATCGAAAGACCCCACTGCCAAGCATGCATCTGTCGTTTGTTCGGAGGTGATTCTACAGTTTTGCGATGATAAGTGCTGTTCCCGTCGATTTTGGCGTAAAGTGCAAATTTAACGATCGATCATTTCCTCGAAGTCCGAAGCGAACGATTATCTAACACAGTTCTTCAAAAATTATGAAAATAAGCTAAGGTCTTGTTGCCCATGCCACTTCCGGTATTATTATTGGTAAATATGGGAGCCACATGTACGACTGTCCGCTGAAGGAGTGTAGCCTAACAAAAGACGCAGAGGAGCAGGAGAAGTGTGGAGAGAGCATGGCGTTTAGGCGCCGCTGAAAGCCATCGATTCTCGAGTGTCCGATGTCCACTACAGAGGCGTCCCGAAACACAACAGCTTACGAAACGATCGGCAACGGGGTATGGCGCTCTCGGAACGCATACTCTAGACTTCTAGAGCAGTTGCAATCAATGAAAAGGGGGACCTCTGGGAGAATGTTGTGAAGAAAGTGATTCATTGAGTCGTCATCAAGCTGAGTTTCTGGAAAACAGACATGTTGCTCTGAGTTAACTGGTTGAATGCGGCATTGGATCTACCTATGACAATGGAAGTTTCAGGCAAGATGTCAATCTCGGACGCGAAGATGCGTTCGCCTATACGTAATTCGAAATTTTCTTCGAAATTACAGCGAGTGCCACGCAATGCTGGCTATTCAATGTTCGAGGCGTCAGCTGCTCAGTGGCGAGCACCCGTTTGGACTTCTTTCATACTAAGACCATAGGCTGCCCTTCGATGCTGTCACTAACCTTCGTACTACTCCTTTAACGAGCCTAACGTCTATAACTACGGCTACCTTCGCATTTCGTTTTATTCGGGTCGTCTCCTTGAGCAAAACTATGGCAGCGCCTCGCTTTCGCTGTGCTCGTGGGTAGCGCATCGGACGGTATCCGAGTGAAACGAATTTGAGGAACGCAGTTTGAACTATGGCAGCTAATTGCTGCGGCTGGCTAGCTGCCAGCCGGCGTCGAGCGCCTGCGTCTCCGGACTACGCACGCTGTCGCTGCGAATGACCACTCGCACATCGCTCTCCCTCCTCCCCACACACGTCGGCCGCCCGTTCGAAGCATTTGCATATTGCGCAATCGGGACTGGTCATCGGTCACTCCAGCACACATCAAACTTCCACTTTCAGCATTATTTCTATAGCACTGCCGTTATAGCCCTTGGTCAACGCTCGCACTTCATCAGCCACGCATCTGGATGTGAGCGTTCAAAAATAACGTCCACTTGTTATTCTCGCATCGCTCTCTCCAAGAACCCCTTCCGCAGTGCAGTGCGAAAGTGAATATCTGTCACATTAGGCTTGGAAAAGTTCTGCTGAAAGTCTTTATTGCTCTTTCATCCTGCAGATGAAATGTTTATCCAAACTTTTTTTTATGTTAGTCTCCTGATTGATCAGGATAGTTATCATGCAAAAAACTTACTTTTTTCTTATCCTCAGTCCTGAACAACTCACTTGTCTGGGCAAGTGGTAAATCTCCATTCTTCTATTCGTTGCAGCTTCACCCTCCTAAGTTTTGTTTCGCTGCGGCATGGACGGCTAAGCACGGTTTAATAACTTCTGCGGGCATCAAGAAATCCTAAAACAGAGGTCAACTGATAAGGGTCAAAACATCCTTTTGCAAGATTAGTGGCATAAGTGTAAAGCTCAAGATACCCAATCCGTTTCGTGATCACCGTTTTCATGGTGTCAAAAGACTCTTGCCTAAGGATTCTAAGTTTGAGCACACGATCCTCTTTCTTTTCTTAGCCTAAAGTAAAATGCAGCTAAGAGCGCGTGTGTGTCAGTTCAACACACCAGTGCAGTAACGCATTCTGCACTATTACGGTGGGAAGCTTCGTCATTCGCTTTGCAATACGGCGAAGAGAATAGCTCGTTCGACTACAAAACTTTGATGTCTTTGCTCAGCCATTTTCAGACATGCTGTGACGTGTGTTCTGCCGAAGTTCTTCTATTACTTATAATCTGATTTATGTCATTCTGACATTGCCTTACTCTTTACTTTTTTTCGGTAGTCTCATCTTTTGAGAAGGTACTTCCTCTTGCCAAATAGTCCTTTCGCGGCAAGGTCCAGCCTGTCGGGGTTTTCCTGCAAACTATCACTGTCTCATTTGTATAGGTGGCTTAAAACGTTGCTTCCGATTAGTAGACCCCTTTTCCGAATACTTGTGTGGCCGTGGGATGGCTTAGTTACACATCTTTCTAGCGAAATGTCTTGTTTATCAGGGGATTGGGAAGAACCATCCCCTTGATCCATAAGCGTATCAAAATCGCAGGTGAAGTTGATTATGCGCCATGTCATAACTTTTTTGCATTCTGTGCTGTTTCCTATTGTCTGAATGCGAAGTGGAAGTGAGCTATTTACTCAGAAATGAGCAGTACTGCTGAATCTGCAACTTCAAAGGACCTCCCCTTCAATGTTGTTACTCTCCATGCAAATGAATGTTGTTACTCTCCATGCAAATGTTGAAGGTATATCCTGTACTTGTGGAGGATTATGCATGTGGACAACTGAGATCACATCCGCACATCCCCCGTCGCGTTCTATTTGTTCGTTTTGGTAATCATCGCTGTGGTGCCACCGCCTGTTACATACTATTTGCCCAACCTGAAACTCGCTGACCTGCAGAATTGATTCATCGGATCTGTGCGTATCTCAGCGTTTACTAATATTTGCATATGAACTTGAGTGTGGCTTAATTTTTGTTCTGGTTCTTATTTCGGCTTCTAGCGAGCGTTTCATCTAGCCATATAAGCTACATGATGCGCCTTAACTCTCAAGGTGCGAATTTTGCACTTACATAATCTGCACCGTAGCTATTAAAGATTAAGTAAGGTCATTATAACTGGTGTATGTTATAGGTGTGTACTCTGCATTTGTTTAGATACTCTAGTATATTGAATGCAAGTGAACAGTCTCATCCTTTCCACAAATTCTTAGACCGCAAACCATTCTAAGTTTCTTTTGACTTCTACATATATGATTTCGCCTCGACAGATCGTAGGTAGCCCAACTAAGCACACACAAAGTTGCACAATAACATGCAAGCAACGGCGCTGATCTACCAATAAGTGAGATGGATGGGGTGGAAGACAGTGTTGCATCCTGCAACAGTTAAATCTGAAAAAGAAATTCAGACACAACAATTTCGGCAAAGCATCTGCGATTTAAAACCTAGGGGCACATCTCATGGAACACTTTTTTTCAGAGATGAATTCGGTAGGATTTGACGTTCTCATTATGACGTTAAGGGCTGGCCCAAACAGATTTAACTTTCGACTATTGCTTTGAACTTTTTTCAGTGGGTTGGCAAATTGTTATTAAACACTTTAAAAATTTAATGTAGAGCTTTGTCAAAGTTTGCATAAAAAGGGATGCGAAGTGAGTGTATTGTGGTTTGCCCAGAGAGCAGTTAGCCAATGGAGCCAATTTCGCTCCTCATCCGCTACGGCAAGTCGCTCAAAGCACGGCATTTTCACGTGCAAAAAGTAGAATGATCGTTTTCGGAATTTTTAGACCGTGAAGTGAACATTTGAAAGAAGCACGTCGAGAAAGTCGAGCATTGGAAACCCCACAACATGTGCAGTTCCCAGTAACGGTCTGCTCGGAACATTGATTCAAAATCGCGCGCTTCAATCTAGGAGTTTGCCCCGGTATAGCACTGCGAGTGATCGGAAAAAATGACGACAGAACGGACAATTCTTAACACGCCTAAAGGCTACTGCATGAGGAAGGGGCGGAAGCAGTATTAGTTGAGCAGGCGCGAAAGCGGTGCGAGCGTATCCTCACCATTGTGAAACCTGCGCCGCATGCGCTCTGCGCCTAAGCGTTCGTGCTCAAAGGTATTGCGCCTTCGTCATGCAGCAGCTTATAGCTATATAGCATCGTTAACGGGACGCAAAATCACTGCTGTGCGGACACGCATCATGTCAATTCTGGCCTGATCACTGGTATAAACTGTATTTTCCGACCTACTGCCTGCAGAAGTAATCGAACATTCCCAGTCTCAAGATGTTCCATCTTTTGATCTTGTATCTTTAAACTAGGAGTGCGAAAAATTTTTCTGTGCAACTAAAAATCTGTTTCAAGGAATTCTCGTCGTAGAAAGGTAAAATATAGTTTGATATCGAGACCCAGAAGAGAACATTTGCTTTGAAACACCAGAGCCTGCCTGATACAAGGTGCTTTGAGTTACATTGCCGGTTAGTTAATAGATTCGTACAATAAATGGGCCAGCACTTCGGTTGCTAGAAGGGTGGTCAACTGGTCAGAGATTTGCGCTACGCGTCAGTACGCAGTTGTTTGACTTCATCCATCTTCATATGTGGATAGCCCCAATACGACGTTCTCTCCTTTAGAAGTGTTGAGCATTGGCGAAATTTTTTGATGGGAGGGGAAGGGTAGCTATCCTGAAAGGACGTGGAGTGCACCACGTCCTCCGAAAGTTTCGGAACTTCCGTTCTAGGGAGGTTGGAAAAGGGCGATAGTGGCGGCAGCTCAAAAATCGGAAATGCCGTTCGAACTGAAAAATAAAGTTTGTTTACGACTGAAAGCACGCTTGATTTTATATCTAGGATGTTTCAAAACTTTTTATTTTGCCTGACCAATAATTCTCGAAAAGGGTCTTCCGACTCACAAGGGAAGGATACTTGGTCGAAGTGGCGTTTTCAAATGAAATGTATACTATCTTGTAGAGCATAACACACTGATTCTAAATCTGCTTTCCTTATCTGCAAAGCGCTTTTGGCAGGGGAGTTCTGGAAATTTTTTGAGGAAAATTTCAATGATTGGGCTAAGGTAAGAACGGGTGTTGGGATCTTTTCGGCTCCTAAAAGGGGTAATGACTGACATGGGTTCATTAGATTGAAGGTGTTTATTGCATAAAAGCCCCTGGTAGTAATCTTGGCCCCACTTGAGGTCACGGACCAAAGTCCTGAATGCTTTTTGTAGCCGCGCTTTCGAATTTTTGCACCAAAAAAATTTCATAATTCCCCTCCCAGAAGCTCTTTGCAAATAAGGAAAGCAGATTTGAAATCAGCTTTGCATGCTCTATAAGATAGTATACATTTCATATGGAAACACCACTTCGACCAAGTATCTGGACTGACGAACAGCTTAGTTATCATTCAATTCATTTTTTATATTTCCTCTTAAATAGCTACGTTTGCTTTTTGATCTATGCAGTTTTTGTGATGTTATCGGCATGGCTGTTTGCGCACTTCAGCAGTGATGACAATTTCAATATTCAGACAAAGCGTAGGTTGCTGTTATATAGAATAACCCTTTTGTCACGTTATATTCATTAGATCAGACTTTTAAATTCTAGTAATTGTCTATTTGGGAGTAGCGCACAGGAGTGTCGAAAGTTCCAAAAAGCCAATTTTTCAAAGCAAATCAAGCTTGATTTTTTTGCAGTGATGTTCAATAACATCAAGCTTCAACTCGCAGAAACTTCGATAACTTTCATATTTTTACCAGTTGTGTGTTTCATGACTTCACCAGAAATCGCGATCTCTAAACAATCGTCTTTGAAAGCTCCAGCAGCAGACCAAAATGCAGAGCAAAAAGCGAAAAATCAATGGATTGATGAAGCCTTATTAACATACGCCCAACCTCCAAGCTTGTGTGCGAATTTTGCTCCAAATAAGTCACTTTCTCTCAATTTAGGTCGGTCATTAAAATTGCTGATCCGAATAATATATATATATATATCGATAAATGTGATGCAACTTCAGATCTTATGTCATGGTTAATGTATAAATCTGATATAGTAAGTAAGGAGACTATAGTACATGCGATTTCGGTGAACATCTTTCCTGCTTTTTCACGACTCCATCCGAGCTGTGCGTGTGCCATCAGCTTAGAGACAGAACGGGAGTGGATTTGTTAGCAAACCTTAATTCTTGAATACGCGCGCTCTGAAGTAACGTTAAATGCGACGTGGCGTATTCGCATAAGATAAGCGATGAAAGCGATGATTGATATTCAGACTGCTGATTGATGGATAACCTCCTTTTGAACCACGCACTAGAGCTGAAGCGGATACCTGTGCACATACCGGCACGTGTTGCCACGTTTGTTTGCAGATCTCTAGCGGAGACCATACAGGCGGAACGTATACCCACTACGTCCAAACACCTTTACGTCATGCTATCAAAAGGAAACGCCAATGGATATATTGAACTAGGGTTGACTGGGGTTCTGAGAGCAAGTAAAGCATTCAAGTCGGTAGAATATTCATAGCTCCATACCAAGTGTTTTGGTAAGTAGAAACCCTCGCAAGTTTGTTTGAGATCGTAAACAGTTCCTTCGAGCCAACTTCTGTTAGGTTCCATGACGACATCAGCAGATTGAGTTTCGAGACCAGGTAATGGAGTTGATGAAGCATTAATGCACATGGCAGTTATTCCTTTTTTATCTCCACTGTGTGAGCTATGATAAAGATAGTAGCACAACATGGGCCATTCCATGACATGGACGTCGTTCCCTGCTTTCACCAATAGCTCTGTTTGACCATTCGTGCAGCGCACAAGGCGGCACCATCTCTTCTATTACGCGAGAATGTGGTACGAAACAGCGATTTTCTTGCCGGTTTTTTTACATCAAAATTATAATCGTACCATCTCTGTCTTTTTCCTTTGTTTAAGCTCAACGCAGTCATTCCTTTACTTCAAAATCCATAGAGAAGGTGCCTCTCACAAGGCTCTAAAGTGATGAGTGAACATAGCGTTGAAAAATCGCGACTTTTTTGATCTCAAGTTTCGAATCGTAGATAGCTAGTAAAGACTTTCGTACTAAAAATACCGTTTGAGTGAATGCTGTTGAACCGAGAAAGAATGTTTTCTTGTAAGTTGCTCATACGTTGGCAGTAGAGCACATATTTCACAAGCGCACAATACTCCACACTTATGCGATATCAAAGTCAAGTTGTGTGAGGTGCAATGTTTTTTGAATTGCTTGCCAGATTCACGGTCTCTGACTCTACATAGAAGAATCTTACACGTTTAATGGAAGTCGTTGAGAAATATTGTGCAAAGGTCTAAATCATGGGGTTTAGTCCCGATAACACAAGCTGCTTTTATATGTTGCTACTGCTTGGTTTGCCCGAAGAAATGACGGCAACAGTCTGTTGATTACTGTCAGGTAAAGTTTGATTGAACTGAAGAAGTGAAGGTATTTCTTGGAAGATTTGAGTGCGTGTAGTGATATCAACACATAGCCTTACGTATTTTATCAAGTTTTTATCCACTCTTCTATATGCTGTCAAGATTTTATCTGACATCTTCCGTACTCGCTGTATCTATCTTTCCGACTTCAACTACTATGGGTTGTACTTCTGCGACCAAGCCGCCGCAGTGATCTGGCTTTTGCCGTTAAAAAGACAACATACTACTTTTGGATTTGTCGCGCTTGGTTCTTGTGGTGATTCTACTGTTTCGGAAAATACTTCTTCGCTCTCCCTGCCCGATCTGCCAAAGCCTTTTCAACATCTGTTTTTTCCATCTTGAAATTTCCGTATTCGACTGATCATATTACATGATTATAGTAGAGAAACTAGAGATAGCTAGCTTCTACTAGCTACTGTCAAGCGGTTTTCAACAAGACCCTGATAGTATCACTGGTACGATTTTTTTCTGTTCTGTGGCGGTGCTGCCCTGTGGTTTCTTAGTTCGCTCGAGCTACGTGCACGTGCCGGCACATTGATTACCCTTTGCTGCTCGAGGGCACTGACTCTAGTGCGATACAACGGTCACTCAAGGAGCACTCCACTTGATTTTGATGGAGTTCCTCCTGTGGGATTAGTCAAAAAATGAAGTCTCATGCGTTTTGTGAAAGTCAGAACTGTTTTTTTATAAAGAAACTCAGTCGAAGGATGCACAACTACATCATCAAGAAGACTATCCAGCTTATTTCAACAGTAACACCACTCAACATAGGGAAACGGGGTATTGAACAGAATCACCAAGTTATGTTATAAAAAGTTGCTGTATGTCCGAGAGCTTGTACCGGTTGTACCTATTCTAAGTTACTAACAGTAGATGTTCGTTATACTTTATTTCTGAGCTGAGCTAAACAAACTAGTCGTAATCTACAGGAAACGGGTAACATCACTTAACTTTTTTGATATATTCGTTGTCCTACCAAGGTCGGCAATGACATCTTCATCGGCAATCGCACTTATCATCTAGATTGTGCAGTCGGTCTAGATGGTCAAACCGCGATAAGAATTCTTTCATCTGATCAATCTACTGTCAGCTCACTCGAGTGAGTTTTCAGTGTGTTCATCAGGTTTTTGTTGGAAGTGGGTAGTTTGTTTGAAGAGGAATGGACTAGCTAATAATTTTTCAATAATTTTGTATCCAAATCTATCCAAGCGTTAAGTGATTCATTGAATGGAATTGGATATTTTGAGTTTTCTCAGTTTTACTATCTACTCTTACTAACTGTTTTATTTTCTCTGATCGTAGTAACACCAAACCACTTTTAGCACCTAGACCTTCTTGAATATTAGTATGCTTGGTTGATGGCAGTTTTTGAAAGATTGTTATTATTTCCTGCTAATGAAGCTATTTTTGTAAAATCATGATGACTAATAATTTGTTTACAAGATCTTACAGTGGCCAGGTACCTCATAATTGTCAACTGTTCCGCTCCACATACGCATGCGGTTTCACTAGCAGCTACCAGTTTCGATCAACGGTTCACTAATCATTGCTTGTTTTTGCACTCTTCTCCTGGCTACTTGATTGCGTATTCGTGATACCTGCCCTCGAAGAACTGTCAGAAATGTTGTGGTCCATGAAGCACCACGCAAACTGCAGTCTGGCAATGGAGTCGCTCAGATGCGTGACTGCGAGGACGTTCGATAGAGTCACATCACATACCATCGCCTGTAATCTCAGGTTGCGTTCTCCGGGAAAAAGTAAAATCCGGCGCGCATACCGGTATGTGCGCCGCCGTTTACGCGTAATTTACTTTACATATACTATCTACTGTAAGCATTCCAGCTAGGAGATACTCTTCCAATCCACACTTCATTTCGTATCCTCGTTCTCTCTGCCCTCATACTAGCGCTTTCTTCCAATGATCACCTCGTACTTGTACATATTGATAAAACACTTGTTGTGGCATCTTTCTTGTGCGTCTCCTTCAACTTTTCTCGAAATCGTAGTCTACTCGCAATACAGATTTTTAGGCAATTCCAATACATATGCTGCTGCGTGATGACTGAATTTTCTCCACTGAGTTTCAATTTTTTTCGTCCACCTTCTGAAATCTATAGTCCACCATCACAGGAGGATGCGTCAGTTATCAACAAACCAGTAGGTTGTTTGACTAAAGTCTCGATGTTGATCTACTCATGCTCGTTGTTGCCAACTTGTGCCGTACATATGTATGTTCAATTTTTTTCTCAGTTCTGCATTGTTTGCAAAGTGCCTATGTTGAGGTGCCTTTATGTTCACTTGAAAGATGCATAGGTTTGGGAAATTCGTGAAGGTCAGAGCAAAAATCAGTACTGGATGGGGCATCATTGTGAGAGCCTTATTGGAACGTTTCTGCGAATTCTCTATGTCTTTTGGTTCATTGGATATTTTTGAAAAGTCTATTTATTTGATACTCTTCTTAGTTTAGGGTATATCATAGCTAGATTGACCAAATCATCTCTGCAGTAATTATATGCGTCAAGTCGCGGTAATCGTTTGATTAATAGAAATATTTCTATTAATATGATTTTTCAAGAGAGTTAGTGTAAAGGAGTGAGCGACAAGGTCGCGCCTTATAGTCTACGCCGGTCTCACTTGCTCTTAGTGTTACTGATATCTGCCGAGACTTGCTAACCAATTTGAGTATAGACTCAGCTGTTATCGCACTTAGGCGACATAGTTAGCAAAGCTTCTATGGTGTTATAGGACAAGTATGATGACTTTTGATAACATTGTGAAGTGCAGGTAAATATGAGCATTCAAAAATTTTCCCTCTTTTTTTGCACTCATATTGGTGTCGCCTTCTGAAGCACTTTTGCTTCTGTTAGTCTAGAGATCAACGAACTAGAAGTGGATCTTTAGAGCCATCTTTATATATTTAAAGCTTTGATGAAGTTAGTGTTAGTTGGTCGTACCGGAACGAGTCCACTGGTGGGCTCGGAAAACTATGCCAAATGCTACCATGAGAGGACCATTTTCGTATCCAACTCCGTAACTTTAGAACGAGCCTCCCCCACCACCCATAGTGATATGTCCAACGGAAGTAGACAGCATCAATGTCACTCTGGAGAAAAACCAGCAGTGCGCGTGCAAAGTGAGTCTTAGGACCATTCCTGTCAACCCTTCATCTACCATACTTCATTTGAACGTATCAGGACTGTGGAAAGCTGTTCAACTCGGTCTGGTATCTAAAGCAGCATGCCGTGAAGCACTCTAATGACCGTCCTTTTAAGTGCAAATTTTGTTTCAAGGTAGTTTTTTTCAGTAATTGTTCATGTCTTTCTGGATTTGGTGCCATTTTTTTGTCTAGACTTACAAGTTTCGCTCAAACCTTTATCAGCACAAGTGTCCTGATCGCCAGAAGCAGATGAGCCAGGGAGGGTAGGTATTCACTAGCAATCTGCTTAGCTATCACATAGTTCACAAGGGCCTCTTTTTGAGGCGGCGTCGGGGTGGGCTCGCTGTCTCTCCTTCAGCCCGTCGCTTGGAGACAAGCCAGTTGCTGAAGTCGCGAATTGAAACTGGCACAAATCCAGAGGACAACGCAGCGTAAGTCATAGAATTTTTTTGCAAAAATGTCAGGCTGTCGACTGCATTTTTCTAGATATCAGTCATCCATTTCTGACAGTGAGGATAACGATCTTCCTATCACATATGGCTTGGTAATACATAAACTGGAGGAGATTTCTCAAAATGTCTGTTTCTTTATACATGAGAAAGACCCTTGGTGACTGTGACCAGTAATAAAACACATGTCGTTGGATGCGTCTGAAACGCTGATTTCAAATCTGCTTTCGCTATCTGCTAAACGATTGTCTGAAATAAGTTCAGATATCCATGATTCTGACTAGGTTGAGTGTGCAACATTTCTGCGAAACATAGGCTCATTACTCATTTAAGACAACCATTTAGCAGATAACGAAAACAGATGTGTGATCAGCGTTTTGAGACGCATTTTATGGTATATGTCTAATTATGCATGGCCGCGGTCACCAAGTTTTCTTTCCTTAATAGAAGTTCTATGATAGCTTAGAAAGATGACTGGTGCTGAAACCGAAGTTTTCAGAACTTTACCTCAAACGAACAAAATGCACCACCACCATCTGAGAATGTGCCAGTCGAGCCGGCTGCAAAGCAACGGCCACCGGACTGTGTTCGTGCTCACCCACTTCCGCAGGAGGAGATTGACGCCTATATCGCAAGAAACAAATCAAAGGTGCATTAGTTTCAATTCTACTTAGGTATTAGCGCGATAAATGGAAGATTTTTGATTTAAAAAGATTCGTTAGTTGGTTGATATAATGTCCCCAATAACGTCAAAGTTCGCAGATAGGTACAGTCTGTCCCGAACGAGAGCAGGTCGAGGCGTTGGCGTAAATTTGTCTCGCATCTGCGGGGGTTTGCGCTGCATATCCGCAGTGTTGGAGAGAGCGAAGAGATTGGAAAGAGAGCAGACAAGCAGGCCGTAGACGTGACGCGACGCGTACTCCGGCTATGTCAGTTCCGCTGATTGAGATTGGGACAAACTGTGCAGTCGAGTAGATTTGTCTACGCCTGAAATGCTGGCCGTCTGCACCTGCAAGATGCCGCATTCCAGGCGAGCTATTTGTTCACGCGCAAATCGGCCCCGCAAGTGCATTATGTTCGGAACAAATCTACTCATTTGTTAGTGTCATTTCAAGGCTAAGACTGCTGTGAATTCATTATGTTCCTCTGCATTTCCCAAATGTGATAGTTCAAGCAGCTACTCCCTAGCGACTAATGATTTGGCACGTTTAACATTAGCGCTTTGAACAATGACCTAAGAAAGTATAAGGCGTGAGGTATGGCACACGTCCCCTCGAAACGATCCTCTTTGCACACCTACCTAAGACCCTTTTTTCATCCTCTACTCCACAATCTCATATTCTCGCACTATGGAGAGAAATAAAACTGTTATGAGGAGTTTCTGGTCATTTAAAGTATGTATGCCGAATTTTTTGCGATTGCAAATGACATACGGGACAAACAGCGTTATCGCTATCATACGATGAACCCGCTCATAGGTTTGAGCTTTCTTAAGAGCCATAAATGATGGTTTCGGTCGCTGAAATTTTGGTGGTAGAGTGATTAGATACGCTGTTTGACCGTATCCAGTCTTTCCAATGATCAGTGAATTGTGATTGATTCGGGTGAGGATTTCAGCGATTTAGCGCTTTTTTTCTTCACCTCATCCAGTCATGGTATTTTCTCATTTTCAAAAAAAGGGGCGTATTCCATTTGATATAACCCAAAAATTGAAAACCATGGATTTCGCTAGAATCTCGTCTAGGGGGTTATTCGACCTGCTGGTTACGAAAATGATGTGATTTTGTGATGTGATGTGAAAATATTTGTGTGGTGGGGTTTTTTGAGGGGTTACGGTAGGCATACGGTAGGGGTCAAAATCTCAGAATTTGCTAAAACTCTGCGTAGATGGGTTATTCGACATGCTGATCATGAATATCACTCTTTTTCCGCAGGAAAACCTCTCCCTGTATGGTTACGGTACGTGTGCGGTAGGAACAAAACCTAGATTTGGCTGGAATTTGGTCTGGAGTGGTTATTTAGCACACTGAACATGGATATCATATGGACTGGTAGCGCCATTTTCTTGAGTCACGGTAATTACATGGCACATGAGTGAAAACTTCAAAATTGCTTAGAACGTTGCCTAGAGGAGTTCACAATGCTGATAACGAATATTAGTCTTGCTCATCATAACAAGGCTTTGTTGTGGAATTATGGCATTTGCAGCGCTTAGGGAAGCATCTTCCTCGCTTTTCAGACCAGTTAAGATCCCAAAAATCCACGGGAAGGACTTATCGAAATGAGCGCGGTATTCGTGATGAACGCATCAGATAACACCCCTGCACAAAGGTTCAGGCAGATCTACTGTTTTGACCCCTTAACATATACTAGTGGCGTACCAAGGCGGTCTCGAGAATAGGTCGCGAGATTTTTGAAAGTTACTCAAACGTGTTATAAAAATGTGCAAGCGACTGATTTCTACTTGTAAATAATAAATAATTTTTAAAAAATTTTTAAATTACAAATTAACCTTATAAAAAATTTCCCCCTTTTTCTGAAATTTCGGGATAAAAAGAGTCAACTGCCATATACCAGTGGCGTACCGAGGGGACGCGAGCCCCCCCCCCCCCCGAGAACGGGTTGCGTAATTTTTGAAAGTTACTTACGTGGGTTATAAAATTGTGCAAATGAATTTTGTACTTGTAAATAACCAAGATAATTCTTTAAAATTTTTAAAAATGCAAATTAACCTTACAAAAATTTTTTTGGGAGGCGTGGCTGACGCCACGCCTCCTGTTTCTGAAATTTTGGGGTCCTGAGCCCGCGAAAATTTTAGAAAGCATCCCAAAAAAATTTTCGGAAATTTTTGTCGCACCTCCCCCCCCCCCTCGAGCCGAAATCGTGGGTACGTCACTGCCATATGAAGTCTTCCTCACCCCACTAGTCGGTCGGTTCGAATTCGAAATCGAACTGGAGCAGGCCGGCCGCGGTAGAGCGCGGCAGACACCGCCCCTTAGCCAACCGCTTGCACTGAGGCGCGGCGTCTGTCGCGCTCTGCCGCTGTCGGCCTGCTCCAGTTCGAATTCAAATTCGACCACCGACCGACTAGTGGGGTGAGGACGGGAGACGGTCAAGAGGCGCGATTTCTGTGGGTGTCACTAACTCAAAACTCAAGTTTAAGGGCTACGCAAGTCTTCAAAAGGCACCAGACAAAGTACATTGGTTTACTAGTCATCTAAAATTACTACTTGCTGAGTTTGAAGGCTTTTGCTGGAAATCCGACCAAAATAAATACAAATTTGTTATCAATTGCATTTTCATGAGTTTTTGACCTTCAAAATTTTCATTTTGAATCGCTTTTGAAATAGTAAGCCTGGAAAACTCGTACAACCATCTAATATATCTCTCCCAAACTCTAAAATACTTCCAGAACCTTACAAAACATTAAATATGTGCTATTTGCTGTCCAGCTGGCAACAAAAATCGCGCCTCTTGACATACACCCGGTGAGGACGACTATACCTACCGTAACCGTACAAGGAGAGGTTTTCGTGCGGGAAAAGTGTGGTACTTGCTATCAGCATGTCGAATAACCCCCACCCCCTACGCAAAGTTTTAGCGAATTTTTAGATCCGAGCCCCCTACCATAATCCTACCGAAACTCCACCAACATCACATTCATTCCTCTACCCAACTCCATTAAGCGCTTTCGAGAGGAATGAATATGATATTAGTGGTCAGCATGTCGAATTCCCCTACGCAAGGTCTGAGCGAATTCTGAGATTTTGACCCCACACCGTATGCCTACCGTACCCCTCAAAGAAAGCCTCACCATGCAAAATAGATATCATTCTCGTGATCAGGAGGTCGAGTAACCCCTTTCGATTTCTCAGCGAAATCCGTGATTTTCAATTTCTAGGTTGTATTAAAGGCATCAACCACCCAATTTTTCGACTTCCATGTTTTTGCCGTTCCAGGGCCTTCTCATAGCTCTGATTCCGAATATCAAATCGGGAATCCGCGAAACCTCGAAAACCCCCCGTTTCCAGAACCCGCAGGGCGAGTTCTCCGGAACGATGATTGGTTTGGTGCGCACGGATGGGCGGGACGAAAGTCACGCCCACTCAAATGGGAGGAGCCAACGTTGCGAATCTGTCATCCGAGTGATTTTCGAGGCAAATTTCTCGCTCTAAAAACAACTTTTACTAGCGCGATTTGTACAGTAAGTTCCGGCCCGCTTTAGGCGGAAATTGTATTGGCGGGAGTCCGTCTCGCAACAGTTCGCACCGTTTCGCAGCTGCAGTATGTCATATCGTGCTGAGAACCCAAGCCTGCGTTTCTTCATTCTCTTTAGTGTCTTTGCTTGGCAAAATGCCAGCGCTATGCGCTCGCGGAGCCTTTAGCAATGCGTATGCGCTGCTTCACTTAGAATGTTCTGCCTAATCCGGGATGAAACCAACTGTACAAGTCTATAGATGGGGGCCCTACCACTGTTAGGCATTAAAATCTCATCAGCCCCATTTTGGGTGGACGGTGCTTTTAAGTGGAATAGTACCGAAATCACTTTTTGATTATGATCCTCCTTCCTCTTCCCTCTACAATACAACCCCTTCTCCAAGTCGCGCGCCTAACCTCACGGTGGACGCTTCTTAAGACTCGTATCAGTCAGAAGGTGATTGCTGGGGTCAAACGGCACAAACTGCTTTCTTCAGCTTCATACGTGTCGCAAATGTCGTCTAACTTTTCCATCTGAAGCGTCACTGATGCGCCATTCTGCCGCTCATTCCCGGGAAGACATGTTTCCGTACAAATGCGGCTGTTGTCGACAGGTGATTAGTGTAATGTATGTTTTTTGGAGATCAAAATGGCTGAATATTCAGGCGTTCGAATGCGATCGTGGGCTTCGCCGTCATTCCCAAGTTCATGCTGATGTTGGTCCTCGTCGTTGCGAAGAGTGTTTCGGAATCTTTAGGCACTGAACTTTCGTCCATTGTTTTTAGTCCTCTTACGGTTTTCTATGTATTCCAGATCACCATTGGCTCTTAGACGTCATCTCGACCAATGCCGACAATGCTACATCGCTCCAATCCAAAATGAAATCGTAAGAATTGGGAATGGATAACGAATGAGAATTATGCGATTCCGATTTTTTGCAACTCTTTTATAGATGGTCTCAGTTCATTCACCATTCGATGCGTTCTCCTTCATACCTTCAGAAGGTGAAGGAATGTTCTCATTTGAATCTTCGATCAAGGACAACGGTGGTATATATGACTTAGACTATCATCACACTGCTAGAAGGTCCTTGCCATTCTCGATTGTTGCACGCGAGTACCAGGCTTCAAAAAAGGCAATTCGGTTTCTAGATCATCACTGCCAGTGGATGTCGATCCGTTTGATATGTTTGCGTCGAAAAAGAAAGAGAAGGAAGACGATGAAGACAGTGGATTTCGTTCAAGAGTCAATTCCGGTTAGCACATAATGAGCTTTTTAGATAATTCTTTAGCACCTCCATTGTAGTCACCCAGTCCTGCTCTCCCGCATCTTCCTCTGCTTTCTCATCAGAGGGTGGGTCGCCGCAGAGGAAAACGAGCACGGCTGAAGTGCCGGAAGTTACCAACTACACTCTTGGAGGTTTCTTTACAAGCTTGCACAAATTGCATAGGCAGCTCTTGTTTTTCGCTGCACACTTCTGATCGGTTTGAAGATCTTTCAGGATACGGCACTGGGCCAACGTACGGTCAACAGTTATTTCAGCCATTTGAATCTATTGGAGACGGTGCTAACAATTTTGCTGCATGAGGGGTTTGTATTTGTGAAATTTCTTTACATTCTACTGGATGGAGTTTTTGAGCGTTCAAAGTGACATTTGACTGAATCATGGTGTCTCAATTTCCTTCTTCAAAAATCTCAACTTCGAAAGACAGCAGCAGATAAAGGCGCCTTGATGTTAGCCACTATTTTTTTTTCTAGCGTTGTGAACATTCTCAAAAAAAAAAATCCTGTGAAATCTATACATGTTGGTTTTGCCGAAGTGAATGGCAAGAACAGCCACATCTCCGGTTTAAACAATTTTCTTGCACATTTCTATCGACTCGACGGAGCCGTTTTGAGATTCCTTTCCCCACCATCTCTAAGTGATAATGTTATTGTTAATGAAAACTACTCTTCAAGATGCCGAATAGTGCCCAATCGAGTTGAACAAATGTTTTTCGAATTGCGGTGTTATTATCATATGTTATTCTATTCAGAGTGTTTTCTTTCCGGCAGGCTATCGTGGTCGCTAAATTATCTGCATCCTTCATTAATAGCTTCCAAACTTGCTATTAGAAGGTACGCTGTGCATTCGATTACGTAGCTAAAAGTACAGATTTCAGTATTTTGCGTAGTGTTCCTTCGTTTCAATCGTAGATGTCTGTAGTGGTCCGGCATGTCACCGAGAAGCAGCGGCGAACACATTTATCGCTTCGAGTGAGTCATGCTCGCTGCTCTGGAGCCTCATATACACCCCAATTCAGGCTGTGGTTTGTCTGGCCAAGAGGTACCTCGCCATCGTCTTTCGCCCGTTCTTTCAGTGTGGCCTTCGTGATCATATGTGATGCATCTGTCTTTCGTTCAAACAGTCATTCTCACTTGTGCTGCGGTGTCATGTAGTGCCCATTGATTTGGCTATCCGCAGCAAATCCTGGGATCCCTTTCGTTCTTTCTTAGAGCTTTCTTTTGTTGAGTGAGAATCCCAATGTCGAGAGTTGGCCGACGGAAATTCTCTTTGATCTCTATTTCCGTACTCACGGTCTTTGTCACTAGATATTTCCGCTGACCTTTCGACTACTGGTTTCTAGCGACTAGTGTATAGTGCTTGTCTCTGTCTTTTCACAATGTTGCACGATGTATACCTTCTTTGAAGTATTTTTTTAAACGTTGTTCTCGAGCTCTGCCATGTCTTTCATGTGGTCATGCAATTGTTTATTTTAGTCCATGATCACATTCTTTTTGAAAATCAAAGCTGAGTCTCCTCAAAGGGTCTCACGTACTTCTTCTTTCCGATGTCACGTATTTCGCTCCAAGTCTCGTCCACCTCTCAAATGAGAGTCACAGTTTTTCGCAGATGTCTTTCACAGCTTTTTCTCTTTCACTGATTGGCAATAGTATGTTCTACCATTTATTTATGTTACTATGGTATTTTTATATGTTTCACATGTTCACGTTATCTCCGTCGTTTTCTTAGTTCCTGTGATTTCCTTCGGTATCGAACCCGATTCTAAACAATTATGTGATCGTTGAACCAAATGCTATATGTAGGTTACTCTTAGTTCGTTAGTTCGCCTTTCTCGTTCTATAGTGGCACATACAACATCCATCTTACGTCGTAGTTGTTCGGTAAGCAGGAGGTGATCTATCCCTTGCTACCACTTTCGCATTTTGTTACACTGTATCTTTCGCGACGTCCACGCTTTTACATCATGCCAGAAGCGGGATGCTCTTCCAAAATGATGCATTGCAACTTCGAGCTTGTTAAAATACTTCACTACTCTTTACACGTTTATTTCGCCATGGCTGTGCCACTGTTGAATAGGGCTGCAACTACAAATGCCAATCCATTTAGCGCGCGAGCACATAAGGCACGTTTATTAATGATTTCAGAGTTGTTCGTTTGCTCGTATTTTGTTCTGAAAAGAATAATATTGATCTGATCTATGCTGCTGCTCATTGTGCAATAGGCACAAGCTCGAAGTGTGGATCATCATTTTGTTTATTTCAACAGCGGAAAACGGTATTCTGGTCTAGGTCAAACACGCTGTGTCTGAGGTTTGCGCGTACCAAGTCTTTTGCAACTATTAAAGCATAATTCCTTGAAGTGACCTCTCGAAGATAAACGTAAGCAGTTCCAAACTTTTGACTCGAATACGTATGCGACCATGGTACCATTCCGCAAATATTTTTCTTGGCTTGCCATTGCTCCTACAACTAATTTAGATCGAGCGTACGAAAATCCACGGTTTCCCCCAAATAGATTTGTATGCGTTCCATTTTTGTAGATGGTTATGGAATTCGACTTTCATACATCCATTTACACAAACTCGTATATCCTTCTAGACAGTTGAATACTCGTATTGAATATAAGCGTTGATTTTTGTCAACTTTTAGCTGTGTCGTGCCATTTAGTACATGTATAATTGCTACATATTTCAGTAGTTAACATAAAAGTTGTATATTGGTTTGTTCACTTATACAATTGAGTGCGTAACACGCTTGGGTTGTTATGCATTTTTATGTCCTTTGTGTATGGGGTTTTTGATTATGCCAGTGTCACTCTGAACTGCAAAAGATTATCACAAGTATTCTTACAAATGCTCCTAGGCGGACAGACTACTCAAGGATTCCTGCAGTGCGCCTCTCCTTTGGGCACTCCGCACAGACGGGCGACATTCTAGAGCCTCCGTGCGTGCGCCACATAATGACAATGACCTTTGGATCTCTTTCACCATTTTTACGCGTCTTGAGCGCAAACGAGACCTGCTTGAGACACAACGCAGTGGTTAGGCTGCCCCTTAGCGTTAATGGTCCAGATTAACATCGTTCCTTGATATCTCGACTGAGAAGGCTCAAATGAGAGCCTGTAGAGGTTATTGAAAATGATCATTGAAATTGTGGGCGTACTTCGTTGAAATTTAAGCGACGTTATAAGACCTATCGATCCACATTCCCGATTGTCTGAGCATGTAAAGGACGAAGATCTGGAGAATTGGTTACAGTATCCCAACCAGCATCCCCACGGCAAACCGCGCGGGCGGCCGACCTTCCCCGCGTAAGTGGCAGGCAATAACCGTGGTCCACCTCACCTTAGCTGTAGATCGGTCCTTAAAGGCAGTGTCCGGGCAAGATGGGGGTTTTGAGATTTCTCTGCCATGTGAGACTGGCCCCCCTGAGACACAACATCGCGCAACTGCGAGCATAAAACGTTCGACCTAAAGCAAGAAAAACAATTGCAAAGTGGGGAAACTTACGCCTCGGGGCGGGGTCCTCCGAGCTGTTTGAATTCCTGCCAGACGGCAGAGTACGTATGCCGCCACAGTTAAAAACCGTGCGCTCTTTGCAACTCTGCGTCTTAGCCTGGCGGGGATCCTCAAATTTCGAAATGTAAGGGCTTGGAAAATGCATGTTCTCGCCGTTTTCGTGCTTTCTGATATGGATTTTCGGATTCAGCGTTGCGGATAACCCCAGATAAGTTGATTTTTTAAAAGTCGAGTTTCTGCCCGGACACTGCCTTTAACGACCGTATAATCGCACAAACCAGAGAGCGATTGTATGGTTGTCGGTGACGCCCGGCGAATCTCTGAGTATAAGAAGCATTTGTAAAGTGCCTAAGTCGATTGCACAAAATCGCCCGGGTCGCTGTAGGCTGAACGCACGCGAGCGTGCCTGCAACGCCGCTGCCGGGTGACGGACTTTTTGAACGATAGCGCGCGCTTAGGCAGCCATGTGTCAATATAAGGCGCGCAACGTTAGCCCCGCCTTGGCTAGATGGACGAGTTCTCCGCCCTACAGCTATAGCAGTGGTTCACGACTATGTTCTAGTTTACTGAAAGCAGCTCCTGATAGGAAGGTATAAACTTGTTGTTAAGCTAGGGAGAAGCTTGGGTATTTACGGAATCTTCTTTTCCCTTATTTATGGAACTGAGCTAATGATGTGTTGACCGTGAGTTTCAAAGGATTTGCTGATTTACCTATGAATGACCGAGTGTCTCTTGGATATCCAGCTTTGGAGTGTGAAATCAATCTAGAATACTCAGGCATGATTATCTGAGTGACCTCACATCTTACGACAAGTTCAGCAATTTCGATTGAGTTGCAGATCGATTTGTTTTGAGGATAGCAGTTTTTGGAAGCAAAATAGAAGAATTTTTTTATTTGAAGCAGATTCAAATTATAAGTGAAGTGTGATTTTCCTAAATTCTGAAAAAGCTCGTGTGGTATGATCGCATATTCGCACAACGAGTGATATGTGATTGTGCGAAACATTATCAAATGTTACAACAGTTATTAAAATCAGTTTGCTTGAAACAAAATTCGCCTTTAATGCTTTTTTTGAATTCTCGCCGTAATTAAATCTGTTTTCAGCTATGATTGATGTTTTAAAACTTTCCTTTCCGATAGAAGAGATAACCATGTTGGTCATTTCAGCAATAATAATAATGACTTCGTTCTAAACTTAACTTGAAAGTGTACAATAAAGAATATTCAATCTAGTAACAGGTGTAAATTAAGAGAATTCAATCACTTTCCTAAGCATTTTCGAAACAAATCCCTTATGCTTGCAATGAAAAATCAATTTGGACAAAACTTCTAGGGAAAAAAATAAAATGGATCAAAAAAGAGCTTGCGAACTAATTTGCAATGAAAAATGACTTCGAAAGCTGATTTTCAATCCAACTGAATTTTTGTAATCTACTGTATATCCAAATTGCAACCAACTAAAGAAGCATGAACGAAATATTACAGAGTTTTCCAATAGCTGCAACGCATTCCTAGGCTAATTAACAAGGGGGCGGAGCGACAGCGACATCTTTTGTTCAGCAAATTCCTTTTTTTTGCGTGTGTATTCTCTATTATGGTGCAGTTGGAAGCTAGTACAAAAATCTCTTCATTGGATGCATTTAACATGAGTACATGCACATGAGTAGCTCATACATAGATGTAAAAGTAATGAGACAAATTCTAGACTCTTGGAGAATGGTTGACAGTACCCATTGTTTGGGCTAAGCAAAATGTATGTGGTGACCATAGGACGATTAGTAGCTGTAGAAATGTCTTGTTGTTTGCTGAAACTGTCCATTGGGCGAGTTCGGAGATATATACTCTCCATGCATGCTGGGCGTCTGCAAAAATTTTAGATGGAGTAGCTCTGTACTGATCGATGGATGCTGGAGAATGAATAGAGCAAGTGAAATGATTAGGTGGTTAAATGACAGAGCGCCAAATATTGCACATTCACTGAGCACAACTGGCGAACCGACGAGAGAAAGCGGGCGTCCTTACCGTTCTTCCAAAATGAATTGGGAAGTTTTTGGTAAGTAGCCTATGTGAGTAATAGAATTGTGAAAAATTTCGTGCAAAGTCTTGCTCTGCTTTTATGAAACAGGATTATAAGGTGACTAAGGTGGAATGCATCTTAGGGCCGCATGCACTAACATCCCCGCGTTGAGGGGATCGCAGCTTAAAAGAAAGCTTTATATTTCGAAACTCCAGATACCTGGATTTCACGTTGTGTACCTATCCGTAAATATTCCTACTACCCTTCACTATGAACATGTTGAAGAGGAGCGAGAAGCTGTACAAGCCGCATTTTCCAGCTTTTGTATTATCTCTGACGATCCCCGGCGCTTTTCTTCAAAGTCACTTTTCTTTCTTCGAAGTTAACGAAAACCTTCCATAGTTGTACTGATATCTAGCACAACATGCCAAACATGTTGCTCATAAGAACAGATGAGTTTTTGAAAAATCAAAATTTTCGACAAACCCCACCATTGTGGTTCGGCAGCCTCAAGCCCCCTTTAGTAATGCACGCCCATCCGTGCGCGCCTATCCAATCACCGTTCCAGAGAGCCGGCCTGCGGGGATTATCGGAGTTTTCGCGAATTCTCAACATCATATTCCGAATCAGGGACATGAGAAGGCCCCGGGACGACTAAAACATGAAAGTCGAGAATCTGGGTACACGGTGCCGTTAATGTATGTATGTGGCTGTAAAAGAATGAGGAAATCTAGAAGAATTCTTATTTGGTGGAAAGTAAATAACTTAGCTCGTCACTAAATCGACTTGAAATCAAATACCCGTATCGAAGCATCGCGGTATAGTGAACAAGACTATGCCGAAGGGTAGAGGACATATGTCGCCGAAAAAGGGCGGTCCCCGCGGTCATTTGCGACAAATACGCACCCTTGTACATGCGCGGACATGCGTTCCTGCAGGGAATCCGCGCGGGACTCTTCCAAATTCGGCGACATATAGTCCTCCAACCCCTATGCCGAATAACTACATCATGCAAAGTTTCAGCAAATACAAAAAGCAGGGACCCTACCATTGAAAGTTCAAAATTCGCTGGTAGTCCGCGGGGTTAGTCAACATACTAAAAACGAATGTAATACTCATTATACTTGGTATTGCCTCTTTCTTATGCTTACGGCAAGTGAACGGTAACTCTCATTGAGACACCACTCAGAGGGGGAGGGGGGAAAGCATGGGCGCTCGTGTGCTACACCTCTTGCTCGACATTAGCCATAATCCTACATCATTGAAGAGGAATTGATGATTTGCTCCATGCGGTAAATCTAAGTTGCCAGCAACAAAATGGTACCAGGGCTCAGAAGACTTTGTGGGGAACTGCTATATTAACGAATGAATAGTTTATAACTAATTTTGGGATACCCTGTAATTTGTTGGATTAAAGGCAGCGGTTCGGCAGATTGACAACTTTGGGATATTCATCGTTCGCGGTTCCCCTGGATGAGCTGAGAAAAAGACTGTACTTTGCGGCTTTAAAATACAGGGTGTCCCAAAAAAATGTGCCTACTGTTTGATTGTGAATAACTCTCTTGTAATGAAGTGTTTCGAAATGTTTTAGGTACCTTTTTGTAGAGCGAGGTTGAACTTAGATTTACAGTATGGAGCGAATCATCGATCGCTCTTCATTACCGTAGGATTACGGTAAGAATTTTTAGCATATGGAGCCAGTGGGAAATATACCATCTAACAAAATTTTTTTCAAAAAATCCGAAAAATCGTGTACTAGGGTTCTCGAACATGCTGATTCCACTACACAACTTTTTACGAGCGTTTTCAGCTTTTTTGACGGTGTAATTACATTTCGGACAAATGCTGGGAATTGAATTATTACGATTTACCGGGGATAACTTAGGAAAGAAGCCTCACAGTAAAATGGGAATTTCAAATTCGAAATCAGCGGCTCCCATTACCGTAGTGTAACAGTTTTTGGCTTCTTTGGACTTGTTTCGAGGCAGAATATAGCCTCCAAATGCCTAAAATCCTCGTCGAAGTTCATACCGTAATCCTACAGTAATGAAAAGCGATCGCCGATTCGCTCCATAGTGTAAGTCTAAGTTTAACCTCGCTCTACAAAACGGTACTTAAGGCTTCTCGAAACACTCCATTACAAGAGAGTTATTTAAAATCAAACAGTAGGCACATTTTTTTGGGACACCCTGTATATCAATAACCCGCTTTTCCAGACGTGAGTGCTATTTGGGCGGACGGTGTATGCCTGCCCTCTAGAGTGCGATTAGCTCGAGAGTGGAGACACCGTACCCATCTCGACGGCAACTGGATTGTTGGCTCTAGCAGCCTCTTTCGCGACCCGTCCAAACTACTTTTCAAGTTTAGAAAAGCGGGTTATTGATATCTTTTGAAGCTGCAAAGCATGGTCTTGGGCTTAACTCATCCAGGGGAACCGGAAACGATAAATATCCCGAAGTTGTCATTCTCCCGAGCCACTGCCTTTGAGTTATTGACGTAGAAAATGAGAAAGCCAACTTGATCTGCTCTGATTGCCACGATTAATGCAAAGATTTTAAGTCAGAATAGGACAAGACGTAAGCACGATCTGATCTTGAAATTGGCCACATCATTCAAATCCTGATCTCGACAAGTCGGGCGCTGCTGCCCAGTCAGTGGATGCGCTTGAAACTGTGATAAATCGGTTATAATAGGGATGTCTTCATTACGATAAACCAGCGACCCGGCCAGAAATTGAAATATTAAATACCCCCATTTGCATCCTTCACCTTCCTTCTCGGCTTTTGTAGCGAAAATCCGAAAAGCTCAAGGCACGTACCTTCAACGGTGACTTAGATCTCTGTTCAGGATAATATTGTGTTGCCGGTGATAGCCGTATGTTTGCCGCATCCGTCTGCGAATCATGATTGAAAAACGTCAAAGCTACCAACAGAATGGCACCAAATGCCGAAAACACAAGCAGAAGTAGCGCTGTACAGGCGAGGTAGAAAGAATATCCATAGTACTTCTTTAAAGGATGAATGATTGCGAAAAACCACATCCTGATAAATTTGTCAAAGAAACTACCTCAAAGGTGTTCTTGACTCCGATTAGATACTTCGACTCCAGCATTTCCGCATTTACAACAAAGACCGTTAATGAGACGCCAAGAATAAGCACTGCAAACGTAGCAATTGAAAATAATGAAAACCAGGGGAACTGTTCCCTCCAAAGCAGCGGAAAACATTGTGACTTTACCGGCCATGCAAATGAATACACCAAACAGGATGGTAAACAGCCGCCGCTTCTCCAACTTCTTATATCGTAGAGCTGCCACAATGATAGCGCAGGTTATAAAACATATGGCAATGATATTCAAAATCAGCACTGCATAGTGCCATCCTGTAAATGGTTAGAACATGAAAGTCATGATCATTGTGGTTTTGGGAGCTGTCATATTTGCCAATGTTTCTAAATCTCGATTGTTGCTCGCTACGCTTCGGTTATCAAATTTGACTCCAGCAGGCGCAAGATTGAAATTAAGTTCGACGAGAACTACTTTGGGTTCAGATTTAGTTGAGTGAGCTAAACTGTTATGTCTGTCGAACATTACATATTGCCATACAAGTATTTGCGGTGCTACAGCTAGTGACTATACTGCAAAACGAAGTCACTCTGTAAGTTTTGCATTTGACCACATGCATGCGTACTCCGTGCCTTTCATTATAGCGAAATTTTATGATAGAAGTCATACGGAATTAGTGTGAGTGTGTAACGTGAATGTGTAATTAGTGTGTAGCGTGCTTCCCAAAACCAAGGTCGGGAATTCCATGGAAGGCAAGAGCACGGCATGGTAAGTTTATTCTCGTCGGGGAAAAATTTACTGAATTCTCGCTTTTGCAAACTTGAAACCTACCAAAAAAATAAGGCGTTCGTAGAAGTTTTTTACGACAATCTCCGATCAATAGAAATCGGCAAACATCAACCTGAAAGCACGTTGTTGTTACCTATTTGAGATCTATAGTAAAACTGTATACTCTTTCATAATAGTTTATGAGGTTGTCGCTGAAGATGTACCAGCACTGCGCTGCTCCTGGGCAATAAAGCCATAGACCAGATTGAACATATCGTCCAACATCTGTGTCTTCCGCTACCTGCAAATTACTTGCGTTTGCTGTCCACTGGCCTTCTTTTTGGCAAAATGGTACCTGCCAAGCTGGTGTGAGCGTTCCAATAATCAAAAAGACGTTAGCGACGATTGAGAGAATCCACACAACAAGCCAACACTTCTCAATTTTTGCTTGTGATTCCATCCAATCTATCAAGAAACTTCGTCACCTATCACTACACGGTTTTTCTCAAAGTAAAGTCAAACCCTTCGTTCTGCTCTAATTTGGGAAAATCTCCCAGATACAGTACGCTAACGTAACTTCGCCCGTTTTTTCCGCAACTAGCTTGAGTAAAGAGAAGTTTCTAGCAAACGGCTCCTGCTTATTCGTGTTGTTTTTCTCATTAAATAGCTTGAGTCCACAAATAATCATTCCACTGACGTACAAACTCCTTATATTCTGAAATGCTCTTACAATGTGTCTTCCCGCCGTAATGATGCCTTTTGAGTACCCCAATTTCATGAGAACAAGACTGTTTTTTTTCTCTGAACTAGATCAGTCTCACAGCAAAAAATCTCGCAATCAAAGGATCCTCTACCTTGCTCTCTCTTACTTAGAAGAATCGTGTAGGAGAGCGACCATTTCGCGAGGCACAGCGGTGCGGCCAACCTGCTTGCTTGACAAAATGAAAAGGCGCGTTTACTCAGAATTAGCTTATATAGGAGTTATTGGCCTCCACTCATATTTTGCGTTAACAAAAACCGGTGCTTTTATACGTACGATGGACATGAGATGCCAGGAGTTTCCATATGTCAGTGATTGTCGAGATTTCATTCGGGGGTAGGGAGTGAATGTATTTTTTCGATTGGGGGGACATGGTATTGGTCATGCCCTCCGAAGAAAATATTTAGGTTGTGTAATGGAACGCGCTGAGTCGTTGACGATTTATTAGAAAAACACAAAGATTTCCCCTGTACACATCGGCGCATATGCCGCGGGTTCACTAGGATCAATGCAATAACAGCCACATCAACACGTAAATATCTCAAGGTGCGGCGGGTACGCCGCAGCCACTTAGGTCGCCTCAGCCTAACACTATCAATAGTGAGCGAGTTTCAGTAACATTGAACCGCTCTACAACACCTCCCATAAGACGAACAACGGCAAATTCCGCAACGAGGATCCACCCGAAGACGCGCTGGCTGGCGGCGTTGGCTGCCCGATTCGGTTGATGTCAGGCTGTTGAAGTTGCTTGGCGGCCAGTGATGTCCAGCCACTGTCCAATCGGCCATCCCCGAGACGTTTGGTGTGTGATGGACGTCGCGACGGCGATCTATACTCGATCCTCCGCGCATCTGGTTCGCATGTCGTCTCCATAATGGTCATCCTCCGTAAGAAGATCATATACGGCTTCTCCGTAGCGTTTCTTCACTCGATCTGGAATCCATTTTTCATATCCAGAGCGAAAGTCACGAACCCACACATCCTCTTGTGGTTGATATGCTTTCTTTCGTGCTCCGTGGTGGCGATTGAACTGCTTCTCCATAGTTTCATCGCCCATTCCTTCTTCTTTGGAGTCTTCGTTCAGCAGCGACAGTGGTGTTCTATCTGACGTCCCAAAAGCAGCTCGACAGGCGAACGTTGTCCTGGGGCGGTTGTACAAGGCGTTCGTCGATACAATTGCAGAAACTCCGTGAGCTTCTCCGCCTTCCTCCCTCCTTAATTTTCTGGAAGGTCCCTTTGAAGATATCCATAAACCTATCCGCTTGTCCATTTGATTGCGTATGGAATGGTGGTGAACGCACATGCATGATTCCTCCCTCTTCACAGAAGTCTTGAAACTCCCTTGCTGTGAACTGCGTTCCGTTATCCGACACGATCACACGTGGATTTACAAACCGAGCGAATAGCGATCTAAGTTCTTTTAGGGTTGCTGTGGTTGACGAAAGGCATCTCAAATGCGCTTCTGGCCATTCAGTAAGCGTCAACCACGACGAGGTACATCCTACCACTCAGCGACCCTGCGTAGTCAATGTGATATCATGGTTTTCTTCCATTTTCCATGAATGCAGTACAGTCTTCACTGGCATCTTGGCTGCTTCTTGATTCCCTACAGCGGCGTACTGAGTCTTCGATGTCTTTGTCGATGCCCATCCAGTATGCGAATCCTCTCGCGAGCATCTTCATCCTTGTTAGTCCAGGGTGTCCCTCGTGTAACTGCTTCAAACCTCTTGTCGCAGCGAGGCTGGAATAACTATTCTGTGGCCAAAATACAAACATCCACTCTGCACTGAAGAACTCTCGCCCAGTGCTCTTCAGTTTCCAATATCTCTTTTCGGCTGGACGGCCACGCTCCTGACTGTAGCATTTGTATAAACTGCATGATGTTTCCGTCCTTACGGGACTCCTCTTCAATCTTACTCCTGGTCACTGGTAACGCTCGTACGGCCTCAGCTTGAACAGCCTGCACATCTTCTTCAATCTTCGCAATCACGACATCTTCGGTCTGGAATGGCCGGGGAGGGATCAGTCGCGACAGGGCATCGGCTTGTCTAAACTCAGTCGTCCTCCGATACTCCAGGTCGAAGTCGTATGCGAGCAGAGTAAGCTTCCATCGTTGTAACTTGTTTGCTGTATAGACTGGCACCATCTTCTTCATATATAGCATATATATGTAGCGTATATGTAGCGATGGAACTATATATGTAGCGATGGAACTTACGAACGGCGAACACCAAAGCAAGTCCTTCCTTCTCAATCTGTCCATAATTCTTCTCCGCGACTGTGAGACTTCGACTTGCATGACAGATAGCTTTTTCGGCTCCGTTCGACATCTGATGCGAGACTACCGCTCCAATTCCATACTCTGAGGCGTCGGCGGCAACAACTATCTGCAAACTCGGATCAAGGTGTGTAAGAAGCAGATCCGAAGCTAAAACTTCTTTAGCGCGCTTAAATGCCTTGTCGCATTCTTCGGTCCACTTGAAGTGAGCGTTCTTCTTTAAAAGTTCGTCCATTGGCGCACGCAGCTGGCGCATTTGTGACCCGAATGATCCATAGCAATTGATCACACCAAGAAATGAACGAACGTTCGCAATGTTCTTCGCGCTGGCATCTTGTTGATGGCCTCAATCTTCTTTGGGTCCGGCAGGCGTCCGCTCTTGTCGATGATGCAACCTAAGTAAAAAATCTCTGGCATCAGAAAATTGTATTTTTCCAACCTGACCTGGAATCCATAGTCTTTGATCCTTTTGGACAAGGCTTCCAAGTCCTGGCGGTGTTCTTCATAACTCCTTCCCGTGATGATTATGTCATCAAGATAAGCAGCTCCCCCTCTAATCCGCTTATCATCGAATCCATTATTTGTTGAAATATGCCTGGAGCGGATTTTACTCCAAAGGATAGGCGATTGTAGCGATACAATCCCTTGTGCGCATTGATGTTTAACATCTCCTTCGATGCTTCTTCGACTTCCACCTGCAAGTACGCTTCGGCTAGGTCGAGTTGTGTGAAAAACTGGCCCCCGTTTAGTTTTGAGAGCACTTTCTCCGCGATGGGCAGTGAGTGCTGATGCAATTGCAATGCATCATTCAATCCTGTCGAGAAGTCAGCACACAGACGGATTTTCCTGTCCTTCTTTTTGACGGCAACTACCGGTGCGGCCCACTCTGAGTGTTCGATAGGGGGATATGACTCCTTCGGCCACAAGTCGATCGATTTCGGCTTCCAGTTCCGGTGCTGATGCGTACGGCACCGGCCGCTTCTTCTTGAACACTGGAACAGGCACTCTTCAAAACCAATTTTGCTTTACTTTTCGTGCACTTCCCCAATAGCTGTTGAAGACTTCCGTATAGTTCTTCTTCAAATCGGCGACTACTTCGGCTCGAAAATTCTCTTTGCTAGTCACCTTTCTGCAGTGGTAGTTATCCTTCAGCCTCTTGTATGCCGGCAACTGGATACATCATTCCAGCAGATTCGAGCTTTCCGTGACGTAGCAAGTTCCACTTCCATAGACGGTTTTCTCTGTGACTCGATCCTTGATCTTGAAATCGGTCGAAAATTTAGCGTCAACGTCGGCGTCCCGTCTGCAGTTTTCACGGGCATCATACAGGTTTCAGAGCAGGGGATCCCATCCTCTTCCAGGCTCTGCGCGATATTATTTATATCTGCACCTGTGTCCAACTTGAGTTGAGGAAGCAACCTCTGACCACGACGTCGAGGTAAGTGCGCGCGTTCTCGGCGTCAAAGGCGACCATATTCTTGCACTGCCTTCTGCGACCAAAGTGTTGGGTTCTTGTCTTCCGTCGCTTCTTCCGACCGCTCTTGGCAGATTGCGGGCACTCTCTTCTGAAATGTGGTCCACCGCATAAGAAGCAATTTACTTTTTTCTTGAATACCGTGTCGGTATAAGCCATTTTCAGAGCTGTGAAATTCTCACAGTCCGTACCAGGTCTTCGCTTGTCAACGGTGCTTCGTCCATGTAAGCATCTAGTCGACGAATCATCCGGAGGCGAATTTCCCTAATGAGGGATCTTGAAGACCTGCTACAAACTGCAGTGTCTTCACCGCCATGTAATCGAGCTCATTTAGGCGGGCATCCTCGTCCAACCGCTTGACGGTGTTGGCGTACTCGCGAAACGGTACGTACGCTGGCGTAAGGGGAGGGCAGCAGTGGCGTACCGAGGGGGGGGGCGGGGGGGGCGCGCGCCCCCCCCGAAAACGGGTCGCGAAATTTTTGAAAGTTACTTACATGCGTTATAAAAATGTGCAAATGACTTGTTTATTTTTGTAAACAATTAAAATAATTTTTAAAATTTTTTAAAAATTCAAATTAGCCTTATAAAAAAAATTTTTTCGGGGGCGTGGCTGAAGCCACGCCCCCTCTTTCCAGATTTTAGGGGTTGGGGGCCCGCAGAATTGTTGAGAAGCCCCCCTAAAATTTTTTCGGAGTGCGTGGCTAACGCCACGCACCTTCATTTAAAAATTTTTTTTGCCGCGCCCCCCCCGAGCCGAAATCCTGGGTACGCCACTGGAGGGCAGGTTATCCTTAGGCACTCATACCGTCTTCTGATGAGCGTCTTCTTGGAGGCGAAAAGCTTTTGGAGATTCGCGACGGCAGTGAAGTCCAAGTCGCTTGGTTGCGCAGGCAGAACCTCATCGGCATACTTCCTATATGATTCTTCGGCCAGCTTCAACCAATTCGTACCTG